CCCCGTGGGCCAGGAGAATTCGCCAAACCCAAGCTTCGTTCGCAGCCCGAACTCGCCCCGGTAGGTACAACCATCCTGCCATTCCTGAGTGCCCTGGACGAGCCGGATGTAGGCCTCCTTCAGGTCCTGCTCCTTCAGGGGGCCCTCGGACTCCTCGTCCTCCATCTCCCGGGCCGATGCCAGGTCCCTGGGAAGAGGCAGGCAGAGGAGGGGAGGTGATGACTGCGCCCAACACCACACACTCCGCCTCATTTCCTCCTGACACCACCTGGGGGGCACGTGCTTTTGTTATCAGCATTCTGCAGAAAGGGAAACTGAGGCACAGAGGGTGCAGTGACTTGCCCGGGGTCACCCAGGAAGTGGGCAGAACAGTAAGGGTGCAAACAAACCCACATCTGTCTGGCTTACAAGGTAAGTGGCTGCTCGTCAGTGGAGGCAGAACCCCTCCAGCCCAGGGCCGGCTGGCTCCACTGCCTGGGACCCCATGGCTGAGTGTTCCCTTGGCCAGCCCGCGTGCCACCCCTCACCCACTCCCCTCAAAGGGTCTTCTCTCCCGTGAGCCTGCAGCACCACCCAGAGCGGGCAGGGGCAGACACTGGGGATACACATGGACTGAGTAAGGTCTGAGCCAGGAAAGGGGCATTCCAGGCCAGGGAGGGTCTGTGAGCAGCTTAAGGGGTAGCAAGCGGACAAAAGATGGATGGATGGACAGAAGGATGCAGAGATGAGAGGCTGTACAGCAGGCAGGGAGAGGACATGACAGTGGATTTGTCTCCTTCCGGCTCTTGGTATGAGAAGCACCCTGCTCCGCACCTTTTGGGGAAGGAGGAGGAGCTCCCCTGTTCCCCAGGGTCCTCAGCAGCAGGAGGCTCACCGCCTGTCCCCACCAGGCCCTCTTTGGAGCTGTGAGCCTTCAGGGCTTCGGGGCCAAAGGCCAAGGCCGAGGCAACACCTTCCATGTGCCTCTCTTCTTTGAACCTGGAAGCAAAGCCCAGGAAGGGCGTTAGCCCTCGGGGCTCCTGAGTTCCATCAGGAGCACGTGGGCGCCCGGGGACCCGCCCCCAGCCCCATACGGCCGGGAAACGGAGCTCCCTCCCCTGAACCGCGTCCCGGCTCCAGGACCGCGACGACCCGCGGTGCCCACTTGGTCCACCGCACCCAGGTTCATTCTCAAAACTCCGTCAGGGGCCTGTGGAATCCCCAGAGTAAACCTTCGTCACCGCCCGAAGGTGACCCTGTCCCTTCTGCGGGGCCACCCTCTGACGCCCTCAGTTTAGGACCACGTGGCCGGGGTCATTGTCAGTGGGGCGCCGCGGGCCTCGGGAACTAGTAGCAAAGACGGCAGGGACAGCAGGCTCACCGCCTCCAGCCCACCCGCGGGGTCGGGCTCCCAAATTTCCTCCCTGATCTTACTCGCCCCCGGAGGACAGCCGGCCAAGCTCAGGGACACCGGGTCCACACAGACTCTGCAGAGCTCGGGGACCCCAGACCCGCTGACCGAGCGGCTCACCGCGTCTCCCTGCCCCTGCTGCGGGGATCCGACCTCACCCCACTCGGAGAGCTCGCACGAAGCGCACAGGGAGCCCAAGGTCGCGGCAGACAGCGCGAATCCGCGCTTGCCGCTGCACCCAGACAGCGTCGGGTTTCCCTGGAGACGTCCCACGTGCACTGCCGCTCTGGCCTCCGCCAATCCCTGCCAGGGCTGCGAGGCCTGGCCCCGCCCCTCAGGCCCCGCCCCTAGGGGCGGCCTCGCCGCGCGTTGTTGCGGCGGCACCGCCCCTCTGTGATCTCACTTCCCTCGCTCCTGGCCGAGTCCCGTGCTGCGCTCCGCAGACCCCCACACCTGGGACGGTGCTGGGGCGCTCGAACGGCGCTTAGTCCCCATCCCGACACCGACCTCGGCGTCCTGCAGCTCTAAAAGCTCACCGCACCTGTGGAGAGAGCACAGGGGGGATGGGGTGGGGGGTGGCGTGTGACACCCGGGGCAACTGAGGCACAAAGGGTTAATCACCTTGCCGATGGTCACGCGCTACTCGGGGAAGCCCAGACTTGACCCTGCTCTGCAGACTCTGAAGCCGGCGTTTGTCAGTTCAGTGACTGTTGGTAGAAGGCAGGGGAGGGGGGGCTCACGGTTTGAGGGGGAACAGGCAGGTAAACATAAGGGGGAGGAGGGAGGGGCGCGGGGGTCTGGCGGAAGGACAGAGAGGTCACGGGGAAGACTAGGAGAGAGGAGTCCTGAGTAGGGTTTCAGAGTATGCGTAGAAGCCCTCTGAGCAGAAGAGGGGAACCGGCCTAGGTAGGATGTGCAGAGGCACAACGGCGGAGAAAGCAGGGGCCTTTCTGCGACTGAAGCAGCTGGTCTTCCTGGGGCGGCAGGAGGGGCTCTCAGGAGCCTCAAACGCAGACTTCACCTTAGAACGCAGGGAGGGGGCTCTGAAAGGCTGATGCTCAGACCCCGCCCCCCCAGCTGGTTTGGCAGTAAGGCAGTGGTGCTGGGATTCTAGCGGCATCTCCTCCTCCCTGCCCCACAATCTCTGTCCTCAGTTCGCCCCACTTCCCCTTTGGTCCCCTCTCAGCTCCTCAGTACCGCCTTGCTCCCTTGAGTCCTGACCCCACTGTCCTTCCTCCTCAGGTCTCCTCTCTCTGCACCTGCTCCTTCCAGGGGCAGGTGGGGAGCTGAGCAGAGGCAAGCTGGGCCATCTAAAATCACGCTAGGAAGAGAGGAAGCAAACAGTCAGCTATAACTCCAAAATACCCTGCAAACCTGTTAAACCGTGCCACCTGTGGGCGGAACTGTACCCCCCAAAAGATATGTTCAAGTCCTAACCCTGTGAATGTGACCTTATTTGGAAAGGGGGTCTTTGCAGACATAATCAGGTTAAGATGGGGCCATACAGGTTAGGGTGAGTCCTTATAAGGAGATATGGAGATAAACACAAAGAAGGCAGCTCTGTGAAGACGAGGCAGAGATGGAAGTGATGCAGCTACAAGCCAAGGAACGCCAAGGATTACTAGCAACCTCCTGAAGCTGGAAGAGGTAAGGAAGGATTCTCCCCTAGAGCCTTCAGAGAGAGCACGGTCCTGCCAACACCTTAATTTCAGACTTCTGGCTTCCAGAACCGTGAGAGTGTACTTCTAAATTTTTAATTAGTATTTTCTAACTTAGTCACTTGAAGAACGAACGAATCTGTCTTGGAAGAAGTACAGCCAGAGTTCTCCTTAGAAGCAAAAATACTGACCGTCATGGATTGAATTGTGTCCCCCAAAAACGTGTGTATCAGTTTGGCAGGGCCATGATTCCCAGTATTGTGTGATTTTCCTGTATGTTGTAAATCCTGCCTCTATGATGTTAATGAGGGAGAATGGGTGGCTGTAGTGTTAGTAAGGCAGGACTCAATCTACAAGATTGTATTGTGTCCTGAGGCAATCTCTTGAGATATAAAAGAGAGAAGTGAGCAGAGAGACATGGGGACCTCATAGCACGAAGAAAGCAGTGCCAGGAGCAGAGCACGTCCTTTGGACCTGATGTTCCTGTGCAGAGAAGCTCCTAGACTAGGGGAAGATTGATGTTGACGAGGACCTTCCTCCAGAGCCGACAGAGAGAAAGACTTCCCCTGGATTTGATGCCCTGGATTTGGACTTGAAGCCTACTAGACCGTGAGAAAATAAATTTCTGTTTGTTAAAGCCATTCACTTGTGGTGTTTCTGTGAGAGCAACACCAGATGACTAAGACAGTGACACTCCATCTTACGTAACTTTGGACACGTTATCAGGAGGGACCAGTCCCTGGAGAAGGACATCCTGCTTGGTAGAGGGTCAGCGAAAAAGAGGAAGACCCTCAACGAGATGGATTGACAGAGTGGCTGCAACAATGGGCTCAAACACAGCAATGATTCTAAGGACAGCACAGGACCAGGCAGTGTTTCCTTCTGTTGTACGTGAGGTCTCTATGAGTCAGAAACAACTCCATAGCACCTAACAACAACAAATTAGTAATTTAGCAAAACTGCTTCTTAGGACACCTGGCTTCCAGCAAATCAGCTGCTCGTCTTAGCAGTGGTGTTTACAAACCTGAAAGCACCATCATTGCTATGGAATTTAATGAAATATTGCTGACAAAGCGTGTGTGGGAAAGGAGGCCCTTCCATTAAAATTCAGTGGAAGACTCTGGATGGCCAGCAAGGGAAAAGTCACGGAAAAATTGCAATCAAATCAGATGCAAGTGAGAGACTGTAAAAGAGTGCAGGGGAAAAAGCATTAAAAATCCAAAAAGTCTACCCTCAGATCGCTGCTCAAGTGCCGTTAAGTTCTCAGTCCTCATAAAGACAAAGTAACTGAAACTGGGGTGCAGAGAGGCGCTGGGGGCACTGAGGATGCCCCTCAGCTGACCCGTAGTCCAAGAGTGACGTCAGAAGAAGGGGAATGAAGAGACACAATGGGTGTGAAGCCCGACTCCACCGAGTGAGGTGGGTGGGTAATTCGTTTGTTTTGGAACCTCTGCATTAAATGACTTTAGCATCACGTGGAGGCCTTGGTGAAGCTGATTCTTGAGCCCTGCCCCCAAAGCTTCTGATCCGTTGGGTCTGGGGTGGGCCCAATAATTTGCATTGCTAACAAGTTCCCAGATGCTGCTGCAGCTGCTGGAGTAAGGACCACACTCTGAGAACCAGCGAGCAGCTGAGCTGTGTGCAGTGGAAACAGATGACAGTGGAGGGGCGGGGCAGGAGGGCCCTTGAATGCCAAGCCAAAGACTGGAGCAGGAGGATGGCTCCAACCAGGAGCACGACGCTTCAGTTCAATGATGTCCACACTTGTTGCCTGGGACCCACAGTAAGACACCACGTTATACCGTGACTGACCCAGTACAAATAAACCCCCAAAAATGTTCCATGAAAAGCTCCCTTCTACTACATACATGCACCCTAATATTTTCATTTAGTCTCCCTGATGGCGCAGTGGTTAAGGGCTATGGCTGTTAACCAAAAGGTCAGCAGTTCGAATCCACCAGCCACTCCTTGGAAACCCTATGGGACAGTTCTACTTTCTCCTATAGGGTCGCTATGAATCGGAATTGACTTGATGGCAATGGGTTTGCTTTTTTGGTTTATTCTGTTCTCTGCCATTTTACTAAAAAATAACATGCTAGTCATGACCCCCCAGACTGATTTCACAACCACTAACAGATTACAACTTGCTGATGAGTCAGGACCCACATTCAGAATAGCTCATTTCCGTGTATATCCCAACTACAGCGCAGAAGGCTGGAGGGAAGGCCCCTGGGGCAGTGCCGAGTCCAGAAAAGAGAGGGTGGCCCAAAGTGTAGCAATGGAGGTGAGAAAACGGATTTAAGAGGTGCGATGATTTGGTTTCCAGTTTATCAGCTCAGTGGAGTGAAGGAGCATGAGTGATCAGGTAGGAGCCTTTAGGACAGAAAGCCCAGCTCAGGCACACGCTGACAACGAAGGGCCATCTGCCGTCTCGTGAAGCACGAAGCTGGCCAGTCCAGAGCAGGGAGTTGAGGTTCGGTGTGACTCAGGGCTCGGTGATGTCGTCAGGGACCAGCCTCTCCCACCTCATTTGCCCTCACCCCAAGGCCGGCTTCCTCTGGGGTCATAGGAGAGGAGTCTTCCAAGCTCCTCACCCCTCATGGGTTCCCACTGGAACCCAAGCCCATTCCAGAAGCAAACCCAGGAGTGGGGCTTCACGGATTGGCTGGAAGTAGCTACTGCCTCCCCTGGAGCTGGGGGCCAGAGAGTCTCTTCCTAACTGGATAACTCCCATAACACCAGGGAAAAGGGAAATTCCATCCCTTCCCCATTCCAAGAAAGTCGGGGCCCTTCTTGGGGCAGAGGAAGAGGGAAATGGATGCTGGGAAGACCTCCACATGGGTGCCATCTGGACATATAGAGAACAACCATAAGGGAAGTGATTATTGTTGTTAGCAGCCATGGAGTAGATCGCCAGGCCTTTCTTCCTACTCCATCTTACTCTGGAAGCTCTGCTGAAACCTGTTCAGCATCATAGCAACACACAAACCTCCACTTACAGATGGCTGGTGACTGTGCATGAGGTGCATTGGCTGGGAATTGAACCCAGGTCTCCTTCGTGGCAGCCCAGAATACTACCATTGACCCACCACTGCCTCCATGAAGTGGTTATTGGGAACACAACCAGCAGCCTTCTTCAACACAGCAACTAGGTAAAACCCCAGGCGCTGTCAGGTGGCCCTTACCAAACGATATAGAGGCTGTTGGTCAGTGTCCACTGTCACATCTGCGACGGAGCCTATCCTGCACCAGGTGTCGAAGCTCAGGGACACGTGGACAGCGAGCCAACTGGGTCTGACCCCGGCATCCTGGCTCCCGGGCCCCGCCCACCCTGCAGTGGCCTATCCCATTATACCGGCGGCCACCGCCCAGCCAATGGCCGCCCTCCTACCTGCAGCCAATCGGAGAAGGGGCGGCTATCCTACACTCGGCCTGGCCAATGGGGAAGCAGCCAGAGACTCTGGGCGGGCCCTGTTAGTACACAAACCTCCACACAGGAACGGGGGGCGGGGGGCAGAGGTGTCCCGGGAGCGACGCACCGGACGGCGGTTTAGGAACAGCGACTGGCCGACTCCGGTGTCCGGCGGTCGGGGCCAAGCCGTGAGGGGGAGTCCCGCGAGGTGCCCATGAGGCTGCAAAGGGCCTGCAGTTCGTGGCGGAAGTCTCTAGGACCCGGGGGCGCCGGCGGGGTCGCGCGTCCGCCTTGAAAAACGCCTCACCGGCGCCCGAGCCCAGTCCGCCATGGAGCTGGGCCGCGCGCCCCCGTGCGCGCCCCCGCCGTTCGCGCGCGTCGCCCCGGCGCTCTTCATCGGGAGCGCGCGCGCCGCGGGTGCGTCTGAGCTGCTGGCGCGCACGGGCGTCACGCTGTGCGTCAACGTCTCCCGCCAGCAGCCGGGCCCGCGCGCGCCCGGCATGGTCGCGCTGCGCGTGCCCGTGTTCGACGACCCCGCCGAGGACCTGCTGGCGCACCTGGAGCCCACCTGCGCCACCATGGAGGCCGCGGTGCGCGCCGGCGGCGCCTGCCTCGTCTACTGTAAGAACGGCCGCAGCCGCTCAGCCGCCGTCTGCACCGCCTACCTCATGCGGCACCGCGGCCTCAGCTTGGCTCAGGCCTTCGAGGTGGGCGGGCCCAGAGTCGGGGGCGGGCCTTCCGGGAGGGGCGGGCCCAGTCACGAGAGCGGGCGTTCCGGGCCCAGTGACGGGGGAGGGCCTTCCGAGAAGGGCGGGCCCAATCGCGGGGCGGGACTTCAGGGAGTGCAGGGCCTGATCATAGGGGCGGTTCTTCGCAATGGGGTGGACTTCCGGACCGGAAGATGGACTTCCGGGTAGGGCGGTGCTCTAGGCCAGGGGAGGGGCGGGCCTAATCATGGGGCGGGGTCTTCCGGGTAGGACGCGACCCTATCATTGGACCCGTCTCCCGAGCAGGGCGGGTCCTAGCCGTAGGGGGCGGGCCTTTCCAGTCTGTCATCTCTGGTCCAGGGCTGTCCTGGGACCGCTTCCCTCTGCTCCTGCCTCCCTCGCGTCCGTGATCCCGTGCAGTCTATGGTTTTGAATAGCATCCGTGCGCTGGTACTGCTGAGTTTATCCTTCAGACCTGTCCCCTGAGCTCCACGCTGGCACAGCTGCCTACTCGTTTGCGCCTCCGTTTGCACGCCTAACAGGCCTCTGGCACGAAACGTTTTACTTCTCCCCCAAATCTACCAGTCATCCCCACCTCTCCACTGACTAGGTCATTTTTTACTCCTTTCTTTCTCCCAAAATCCACCTCTCCTCCTCCGCAAAGTCGGTCAGCTCTTCTTTCAACATATAAGCAGGATCTAAGTCTCCACCACCCCCACAGCTGTGCCCAGCCCGCCTTTGCCCCAGGCCACGTTTTTGAGCTCCTCACTGTCCCCTCTGCTTTTGTCCTTGCCCCTACAGCAGCCAGGGATATCCTTTTAAACAGAAGGACTATCCCTGGTCGTGCCGTGGTTAAAGCTCTCAGCTGCTAACTGAAGGTCAGTGGTTTGAACACACTAGCCATTCCATGGGAGAAAGATGTGGCAGTCAGCATCTGTAAAGATTACACAGCCTTGGAAGCCCTATGGGGCAGTTCTACTCTGTCCTATAGGGTCGCTATGAGTCGGAATTGACTCAACGGCAATGGGCTTGGTTTGGTTTTTTACTAGCAGGATACTCCACCGCTCGATCCCCACGGGGGCTGTGTCTCTGAAGCTCTCCAAGATCTGGCGTCATCGCCTCTCCAGGCTCACCCATTGCCATGCTCCACCTGGCTCACTCACTCAAGTCACTCTTGCCAGGTGAGCCTCAGGCCTTTGCACTGGCTGTTCCCTTTGCCTGGAGCACTTTTCCCCCTGGATTCTCCTTGGCTTCCTCACTCGGTTTCTCCAGCCCTGGCCGAGTGGACTTCTCTGGGGTGTCCTCTCTGGCCTCACTCTATAACGCAGCAGCCGCTCCAGCCCACCAGGCTCTAGCTTATCTCTGAAATGTTATATAATCACCGGCTTATTCTGTTTCCCACACTGGAATGTGGTTTCCATGAGAACAGGGATGCTGTTACATTGTTGAGTGCCTGGTCCCCAGTGCCTAGGCACATAATACCAAAACCAGACCAAACCCACTGCTGTCAAGTTGGTTCCTAATCATAGCGACCCTGCAGGACAGAGTAGAACTGCCCCACAGAACTGATCCCAAGGCTGTAATCTTTATGGAAGCAGACTGCCACATCTTTCTCCCACAGAGCGGCTGGTAGGTTTGAACCACCAACCTTTCAGTTAGCAGCCAAGTGCTTTAACCACTGCGCCACCAGGGCTCCTTGGCACATAACAGGGATTCAATAAATAGTTTTACTGTTGAGTGAAATATATAATTAATTACAGTCTATGTCAGGACCCTACTTCCTCTTTGAAGTGCCTGCAATGAGTTGACGCTCAGTAAGTGTTAAAGGACTAGATTTATTATCGAGTCCATCAAGCAAAGGCATTAGAGGGCTCATAAATTCAGCGCATCAGCCGAGAAGCCATTCACCTTTCCATTTTCCTAAGGCCTAGAGAGAAGCCGGAGCAGGCGTCTGCCTGCACGTTTCTGGGAGTCTGCCTGCACGTTTCTGGGAGTCTGCCAGGGATTCCCAAAGCCACACGTGGCACATCTTCAGGGGTGCCCGCTTTACTTGATGTTAAGTAATGTAAAATTGTTTTATTCAGGCAGGCATAAATATAGAATCCAACGCAGAAGGGGAATGACTTTTTGAGACAAGCCCCAAGATCCATCTCCGCTGTAGCTGCAACTCCAGACACTGGCAGCCACGAGATCACCGTCCGCTGCCAGCAGGGGTGCTCGGAGGGACGGCATCGGGGCGCTGGCAGAACCGCTGACTCGTCTCTCGTTCGCAGGCAGTGAAGCGCGCCCGCCCTGTGGCTGAGCCCAACCCAGGCTTCTGGTCTCAGCTCCAGCAGTATGAGGACCAGCTCCGGTCCCAGCCCGGCCTGCCCCAGGCACCTCCGGGGACAGTTCTTCCCAGCGAGGACTGCCCCACAGAGTGCACAGAGAGCCTCTAGAGTACGCTTCAGCCTTTGGGGATGGCGCCCCTCGAGCACGCTGCATCCTCGAAGTGGGGACACCCGGGGCTTCCATGTCACCTTTCCAGGCCTGCAGCTCCAGGTGTGGGGACATTTGGACACTGGTCAGAGAGTGGCCCTTCCTCCCTTTCTCTCTGTCAGAGCAGTTCCTTCCTCTCCTCTCAGACGAGTCTTCACTTCCCCTTTAAGCTTTATCTTCCTGAAATACAGCTCGGGGGGGTCTTGGGATGGTGGTGCAGCAGGGTAGCCACTGACAAGGGGGCTGGGAGGCCCACGGCTGCCCAAGACAGACTTCTTCTCTCTGGTCAGCCACGGTTTACTAGACAGAGTTTGCTCAGGAAAATCAAAACCACTTGAAGAATTTTAGGTAGAAAGCAATTTAACGCAGGGAAGTTGAGGCTGGGGGAGCCAGGGCCACGAGAGCCACTGTTAGCCCTCGGGAGATCTGGAGGGGCCTGAGACCTGCCACCCTGAGCCTAGCCACCTGCAGCGCTGGGGTAGGCAACTCTCCAGAGGACCCCGAGAATCTCGAGCTCGCCAGCTGCTGCAAGCCTCTCTTTCCTCCCGCCTCCCAGATCTCACACTGGTCCCATCACAGGGTCCGACGATAGGAGGATGGGACATACAGCTCCCAGCAGCTGTGGCCCGTGGGCGAGGGCAGAAGGACGGGCGCCTTCCAGCTACTCAGTGTCCAGGCCCTCCTTCTGCCTTCTTTGCTCTCCCGCCATCCCCAGCAACAGCCTCGGACTAGAGCCTAGCGCCACGCTGCCTCGGCCAGCCTGACGGCCCGAGGATGTCCCAGTCCCTAGGAGTGGAGGGCCCCGCCCATTGCCACGTTCGTCCAAGCGTGCGGATTCCTCCTCTAGCTCAGACGTGGCCTCACCCGGACACCCAGCGACCTGAAACTGTCTTAGAAACTAACCACCACCCACATGCTTAAGATAGCGGGGAGAGAGAAGAGGAAAGAATGTAATACATGCAAATTACAGACAATATTTTGTTGTTGCTATGGCGCCTCTGAGTCGGTTCCCACTCATAGTGACTCTGTGTACAACAGAACGAAACCCTGCCCGGTCCTGCGCCATCCTCACAGTCGTTGTTATGCTTGAGCCCACTGTTACAGCCTCTGTGTCAGTCCATCTCGTTGAAGGTGTTTCTCTCTTTTGATGCTCTGTAGATAATATAGTCACTGGTTGACACATTTAAATGTATATGAACAAGCTGATGAATAAGATACCGTGGCTGGCGTCCTTCCCTTTCAGCCTTTGGGAACGGCTGATTCCGCATTCCCTCCACCTCAGCCAGGGCCTCAGCTGCCTGTGGGTCTCCTCCTGGTGGGGGACGCACACCTTCTTTCCGGAAGGGCCCGAGCCCTGAGGGGTCCACCCGCACTGGTGCTGTGGTGCCTGTTACCCCCGACCGCACAGCCTGGGAGTGTCGGCAGGAAGCCAGGGAACGTCCTGGGTGCCAGGAGTGCTTCTCCCGGCCCTGGGGAGTCACAGCAAAGCCCTACCGCCCCCTGGAGTCCAGGATCAGTCACCCCACCCAGCTTATTGTGAGCTGCCATCCAGTTGGCCCGGACTCATGGCCACTCCATGCACAACACTGTGATCCACAGGATTTTCATTGGCTGATTTTCAGAAGTTGACTACCAGGACTTTCCTCCTAGTCCCTCTTCGCCTAGAAACTCCACTGAAACCTGTTCACATCACAGCAACATGCAAGCCTCCACTGACAGATGGCGCTGTGGGACCCAGCAGAGCGGCCCCTCGTCCGCCTGATGGCTCTGGGCCCTGAGGAGCCCAGTGTGGCTAAGTGGGGTTCCAACCTGCCATCCAGTGGAACACGGGAGTGCCCCAGGCAGAAGCATCCTTCCTGGAGGGTGAGGCTCTCTGACCCAGCAGAGCCCAGATCAGGAGCCTGTTAGCTGCAAGGTCTCTACCACCTCCCACACTCCAGCAAGAAGATGGGACACCACAGGCCAACTCCTGCCAGCAGGGCCCCCCTCACCAAGATCTGAAGGCAGAGGAAGGGGCCCACCCCAGGCTGACAGAGGTTGGCAGTGACGTCTGGGTGTCCACCATGCTCAGAGCTGGTGACCAGGGCATGTGGATGGGGCTGACCAGCCTCAAGGGCATCTGTGGGCCAGGCCCGTCTCTGCAAGATTGGCTCAGGAAAAAGCGAGGTGTGAACACACCCGGCTCCCTGGGACACTCAGACTCCTGGTTCCTCGCACCTGGTGGGGTGGGGTGAGAGGAGAGCTCCGCCGCAGCCTTCCGCCACCACCCACCCGGCTTGAGGCTGTGCGCCCAGCAGCGCCCTAGGTCCCCAGGTGTAGTGCCGCCTCCTGCCACCAGAGGGCGCGAGCAGGCCGCCTGGAATGGGCGCTCCAGATAGAGAAAGGGTGTGGGGCGTCGGGTGTCTGAAGGCCTGTCTGGCCGCAGGTACGGTGGAGGGGAGTGTGAATACAACCACATGCCCTCCCCCTCTGTGGATCTGCAGGTCACAGGAAACTGGCTTCACAGCTCTTTCCCATCTTGGTTGGGGGTGCAGGACTGAACCCCCACTTGGGGCGACTCTGAGCCCCAGGGGTTCCTGGTGAGTGTGGGTTGTCCCCTGCTAAGAGGGCCTGTGGGGACCTGAAGACCCTGTGGGTGGACATGTGATCAGCACCCTCCCACCCCCTGGGCAGGCACCGCACCTGTCTCACCCCCAGGAGGGGCACGGCCACGTGTCCACCCTCCTCCCCCACGGGCGTGGTCATGTATCCACTCCGCACCCTACCCCGCAGGATCACACGTCCCACCCCTACAGGCATGATCACGTGGCCCCCCCCAGGCATGGTCAAGCCCCCCCCCCCGCCCCAGCAGCCACGTGTGACAGATGAGGACACTGAGACCAGCAAGTACACAGTTGCTGCTTGGAGACCACGTGGGGTCCAGCACAGCGTTGAGTGCAGCCCTAGTTTGACCACACCACGCTGGAGAGAGGTGTGCGGGCTTCCTGGGCCGTGTCCCAGGCCAAAAATCCCCTCTCCAAGAATCCGAATTCTTGTGTGGTGACGCCGTCTCCCTCCACGGCTTCCTGATCCGATGCTAGCAGCCCAGCCTGGTCTGCAGCCGTTCCCTCCCGGCCCAGGCCCCTGGGTGGCTCCACCTTGGAGAGTCACCACCTCCTTCTAGAGGCCAGAGGAGAACAGGCCCCAGCCAAGTAGATAGGGCGAGAGGAATGGGGGAGGCGGGCCAGGTCCCAGATGCTCCGAACCGGCCCCCAAAGCAGTCCGTCCTCCAGGGCGAGCCAGCCCCCTAGGCAGCACCGGCCATGTTCAGTATCTGTGCTGTCCACTGCAGCCACTAGTCCCATGGGCCACTGAGACTTTGTAATGTGGCCAGTGCAACTGGGGAATTGCGCTTGTAATTTTAACTCACTTAAATCTAAGGCACAGGTGGCTGATGGCGGCCGTAGTGGCCAGCGCAGCCCATGGTCCTGAGCTCCGCCACGCCCCGGGCGCCCACAACACAGCCACTGGGCTCCTGGGTGGGTGTGGGTTAGGGGGCACCATGCCCGGGCCTGAGTGCCTTACCTACGCTCCCCGGGTGCACAGAACGCGCCGGAAGGCAGTCCGCCCTCAGGGGCTGCAGCAGCGTCCGGAAGAGCGGCCACCCGGCCGTCGGGGGTCTTAGGGTACGCCGGGGCCCGGACGGCTGGCTGCTTGGCGCCAGGGGCGGGG